AATTTTATCGGTAACAGTTCATTTGTAATTTTCTTCAGTTTGAAGCTCTCTTTATACCATTAAAGTATTGTTGCTATCAACTGGTTTGATTGTTCATTCCCCACCGTGATCTACATAGCGTGTAGCAGAATCGTAGAACTAGTAAATCGCACGTGTGTAAACATAAAACTAGGATAGAATTACAATGACGTAACAGACWACGGAAACTTAATAATTAACATGTATACACGAAAACTATAAAACATATACTGTGGATAACATGTAGTACACGATTTTCCTACTACAAGTCGTAGGTTGCGTACGACTGTTGTAGGCAAGTCGTAGGGGCATTTACACTGCACTATTCAAGTCGTATACTACAAATCGCACGAGACAATCATGCCGTGTAAATCAGCCTTAAGAAGTCGACACTTTTAAGTGTAATATAAAACTTAGTGAAAAAGATAACTTTAGCTTTAAAACTATAATCTCAATGTAATCTCGCACGTAAATAATTCGTTTTGAGATCATCACGAGCCATAACGGTTATGCAAGAAAAAGCATATTAACATAACTTACATAAATACCAATGCCCAGTATAACTRCTAAATAGARCACAACCACCACGATATCCCATGTTTCTAACCCTCTTGGTCGATATTCAGCCTCCATTAGTAGCGTCTGCTTCCACAGAATAACCAAAATACGTCCAGGTTATATAGTTGAGTGGTCTTGAAGGGTTAACCTCGCGCCAGTTGATCAACCTTGCACAGCGGAATGTCCTATTGTTTTATTTCTTATTAGCTGGTTGCAAAAATCCCAACATAAAAACCCTTATTGAAATTATAATCTTCACATTAATCTCTCCAATGTTCACAGCATTTTAATTGCTAATCAAAATTTGCATTTCTTGATTGTGCTTCGTAAAGGCAAAACGAGGTGTTGACTTTTAATTCATACTTAAAAGTATGGCATGAAGTTTAATTACTTTTACGTCTGTATTCCTAACGTAATTTGACAAAGGACCTCCAATATAAAGACCGTTTGTTCGATAAGAAAGTTTTTAAAACATTCATGACACGTATCCTCCGGCCCTACGCGTGTTCTGCCCGGCAGCGTAACGAATACTCCCCCACTTTTCCCGCAGCTTAGAGTGTTCGCGACAGTACCAGTTCGCTGAGTACCGGTTTAAGATAGTCACAGTGGGCAATTGTCACTTTCGACAAGATATCTTTAAGGCTGATTTACACGGTACGATTTGTCGCGCGCGACAAATCGTACCGTGTAAATCAGCCTTTACACCTACTTGTGTGTTTCGCTATGTTGTTTTTAAAAATATGTCATGTCAAGAATTACTAAATTTTCATCCTTTATCTATCAGTAACCTATCTATCAGTAACTTTTACGTAAGTAGTTTAGGACCAGTTCAATTACAGTCAACTCTCTCGTAAGGATCAGGAAAAAGTGGTCGCTTACGAGAGATGGTCGTTTACGAGAAAGTTTTTTTTTTACAGAGTTTATATGGGAATTAACAAAATGGAAAATTTAAAAGGAGGTCGCTTACGGGAGATGATCGCTTACGAGAGTGGTCGTTCTAAGAGAGTTAACTGTATTATTTCGCCCCTAAAATCCGAAATCTAGGGGCTTGGAATCCATGATATACTTTATCAAGAATTCCAGATTCCATCATCGTGAATTTCGCATTTCGTATTTCAGGAAACGTACTTCATTGACTCGGGTTCCGGATATTCCAACTGCTTTGATTCCTCCAGAGCTTTAAAAATGATTTCGGAATTTAAGGGTTCGGGGTGAACATTGTCTGCTGAAAATTRAAATTCACTTTGAGACCGTAAATTGGGTTGTGGATTTAATGAACATAGTTGATAGCTAACAATATACCTTAATATTTTCACGATACATGCAGTTTTGACATGCAATGCCTACTATAGACCATGCAACTCCCAGTCAACGATTGATGAAGGTACCAATGCAATTTTTCTATTTTGAATTCACTTCCCAAAACGTGGAAAATGCTAGAATGAACGTTATGAATGAATAAAGACGAAGCTTCACCCTTGAGTGAAACTTAAAGGCATTGAATTAAATGATTGCGCTGAACATCTGTCCTTTGTCGAGTTTTTACTTTAGATATTGTATGAAAAAACGAAACTTTTAACGTGTATTGAGTTACATTGAAATTAAATAAATTTGCTAAACTGAACTCAAAGCCATGCACTATGAAAAGAAAGAAATAGGCCATAGAGCCTTGAAAGTACAGTCCAGGAATTTATTTTCTGGTAAACAAATTGAAACGGGTACCATCTTGATTACCTCAACAAATGTTATCTAAAACTACAACAGCGATTAATTATTAATGTTTATTTGTGTTTGCCCATTAGCGATGTTTCATCGTCTTCTTCAAAGGCAAGATTAAAGGCGCCTTCATCGAAGCTGGTTTCGAAGTTATCCAGCGCCGCGTACATATCATGACGGATGGTCTCTCTTTCTTCTTCCATTTTAAGCTCAGTAGCAGCATCGGCAAAAGAGTGCTCAGTTGTAATGCCCCACTTCTTCTCGACTATATCATCCAACATTCTCTCCTCAGCGAAATCCTCACAATAGAAGCCCCGAAGGGAGTCATCCAGTCGTGCAAATCGCTTTGCAATGGCAAAGTCAACCGGCGGTTTCGACTTAAGAAGTCGCTTGTTGCGTTTCTTCATCTTGAGTGCACTCATGTCTTCTTTAAACTTGTCTTCCATTTCCTTCTTCTCTTCGGGGTCTTCAACTTGAACTTTGCTTGGTTTGAGGCCAGTAATTCTACGGAATCGCTTGATCATATGCTCTACAATGACAAACTCTTCGGGATCGTCACCAACCTCGTCTTTGACCTCCGCAAAAACGTCCATAATTATGGTAAGGAACATATTCATGATGATCATGTTTCCAAATACCATAAAGGTAAAGAAAAAGATTGGTCCAATAATGGGCTGTGCTGTTTCAATCTCTCCATAGTCAAACGAACCTAATAAAAGTCCCATGACCGATTCGCAGGTCGTCACAAAGTTAGAGTACGATTCCAAGTCTGTGCCAAATACTGCAAACGCAAAAAGTGCGTAAGCCAGGAAGAACACAATGAATACCACGGAGAATGTCGCAAGTGGTCCAGCCGCCCCTTTAAGCGTTTGCGATAAGACTTGAATTCTTGCATTAAATCGAAGAAGCTTCATTCCTTTTAACCAGGTAATGAATACAAGAAGGGCGACCATGATCATGAACGCTTCGCTCCAAGAGGAAACTCGTACAAAGCTGACATATTTTCCTGGATTGTTCTCGAGCTTGGTGATCGCTGACTCTACCAGGTTGATTCTCATTAGAAACATGATGACGCATGTGAACACCAGGATGACCATAACGAACTCAACACAATTCCAGAACTCTTTAAAGTATCCCTTCTTCATTTGATACAGTTGCTTGAGTTCTTGGTAGATGAACACAGAGAAGAAAATTAAAATAAAAAACTCACACACCACTACAAGAGTTTCCATGCCACCACTGGTTGAGAACAGGCGTGATATTTTCAAATCCGTGTACAAGAACACGCCATTAGTAGGTAGGAATTCCACCACCAGGGTCATCACACAGAAAAGGTTCGACACAGCGTTGTAGGTTGCCAATTCAGTGAAAACGGCTCGAGTTTGAGCATCTATCCAAGTATTGTTTTCCAGCGCTTGTAGGATTTTGGTTGCGTTCTTTCTCGACTCACTTAATTCTGCTGCATAACCACCGCCACCGTAAGAGGAAACTTTCGCTAAGAAAACAAAAAGAATATATACTTCTCACTATAATTGAAAAGACAAAATATTAAAAAATTATTGTCAACTGTACATCAGTTAAAATAAAATATTGGACTGCGCATGTCATCATTTCACAATATTAGAATTGACAGCGAACAGTACCTATGAATGGCATAGTGTCCAGTTCTCCAGAGGTATAGAACTCCCAGGATTTGAACGAAAATGGTGGGTTGTATAAAGATTCGTTCCTGAGTGGATCCCATGCAATATCGTACTGACCAGTGTCTTCAGCAAAATACCCGTACCARGTTGAGCAATTGTCAATCAAGTGGTGAAACTCAGGAGGAACTTTACAAGTATCTAGAGAGACAAATCGATTAAAAGATGTGGTTGAATTCATGAAAAAAGAGGTATTTATAAGTTACCTTTTTCTACTCGTAGTTGTCTTATCCTTGCCCCTCCTATGACAAAAGCCATTTTATCTGCACTGAAACCAGGCTCAACTGAGTCGCCATTATACCATTCTTCGTTGAAAAGTGCGTCCATTAATGTACTCTTCGCCCATTCGTAGTAGTTTTCCCGGGTACTGATCTATGGATGGAAAAAGGATTTAAAGATGGTACGACTGAAATCTGAAGAGTGCACAGATGTATACATGTGACGTTCAAAAAATTGTGGCTTGACTTCCTCGAGAAAACAAAAGAATCCGCCATGTTCTGTCCAAACATATCCTACAATGCATTGCATATACGGTACATGATGTAAACGCTATTAGGTGTATATGAAATATCTGGTCAATATTTATTCAATAGGGCAGACATTTGGTAAGCTGAATTACATACCGATGAAAAGCTACGAATGCCGCCATAGTTTCCATCAACAAAGGTGTCGTACATGGATTTTTGGAACTGATAGGAAGTGGGATCCCTGTGTGAGTAACTGACGATACAGAGACAGGTCACAAAGAAAACGTACAAAAGGACCTCTTTGATCATGGCATTCATCTTCATCTCGCGGAATCTACAACAAAAAATGAGATTAGTAACTGTTCTAGTCTAATCCCAATCAATACTACCAAGGCAGCAAGTCTAAAGTACATGTAGTTAGCTGACTAATGCGTGAACGAACTCTCTTTCTACGGGACTTATAATTTGAATATTGAGCACTCCTTCGTTCTAAATTAAATCATTAATGGTAAATTATCAGAGCGTTACCTCTGTTCCCTATCTTTCTTGAGTTTATCTTTGTTTGGAGGTTGCAAGCGAATCATGCCTTTTTTCTTCATTCGTCCATCTCTTTTGATTCCTGTTTCTGTATAATCAACACAAAAGAACAATTCAAGAACAAGTGGGTAGCCCCATTCACTTGAACTTGAACTTTGCTTTGTGTCATGACTACATGTCAAATTTGTAAGAGACAATTCTTTCACTGACTAACCTGAACTGCCTCCGCTTTCATGAAGAAACTCTTCATCTTCAAGTTTTTTGGCATCATCGTCGTCATCTTCCTCAGGTGGCTTTTTGATTATTGCGGCAAATACGAGAGCGATAGCAACAACTTTAATAGGTTGGCTGATAAGAACATCTTGAAAGAAGGATACCAACATGGACGACAACCACTGCGCAGATTTCTCTTTGCCAAACTGCAGCCCGTAAAGAACGATGAAGAAGGCGCAAATAAAGCATGTCATGCCACAGACTGCCCACCCCACATATAAGAACCAGTAAGGAAGAGGCTTCTTCTTCTTCTTCTTTTTCTTCTTCATTCTCTTGGCCATCTCTTCTCGTTTCTCCTGTTTGGAGATTTTGAAGTTGATGTCGTCTTCCCCGAGGCCAAAATCAACCGGCTCTTCGAGCTCCGCAAAATTGGCGCGGCTTGACGCGCTCAAGTCAGACATACTTTGAGCTTGTGGTTCATGTAGATTGGTACGACTGTTCGTACTAAGGTCCAAAAATTGGTCATCAGGGTTGTGATTCTTATGAAGCATTGTGATAAAGTCGTTTTTAGGCTTGCTACGATCGAAAAAGCAAAAACAAAGTTCGTAGAGCCACCAATGTTTTCGCTGCTTTTTCTCCTTCATTTCTTGTTTGGTTGGCTTCGCTTCGGTTCCTCTGAACACCGTTACAATAAACATGTTTGCTGGCACTACGACCAAGCTACTCATGATACCAATACCAACCTGCGCAGGACTGAAAGAGAGAGGCCCTATATGAAGGGTGCTTGACGGATCCGACTCTCCTCCAATGTTATAAAACATAGCATTAGCCAACATTGAACAGTATAAGAGTGTCAAACAACATGACAAGCGTTGTAAGCGAGTAAACCTGCTCTTTGCTGGACGCATGAAGATTGAGAACCACAAATGTCCATCAGCGAGTTTGGTTTGGGTTGTGGAATAAAACAAATGATTAAAGCTGGTGATTTCGTCTTTTCCAGCCACTGGGATGAGACGATCGACTGTCCCATCGCCTTTCTCTACGGCAAGCCATGACTCGGTTATAAACAGGTATTTCTTGTCGTTGCTGAGGTCTTCCACAATTACTCGACTGAGATACCAGGAAGGTGACTTACCCGAATTATCGTGCCAGATATGAAGATAGTTAATCTCGCCAAGACTTTCTGGAAAAGTTGCCAAGAAGATGTCAACGCCTCGGCGCTGAAATGTCTTACGTTTACCGTCTTTCAGAAGCCTTGGTTCTGACTCTCCCTCGTCCCCGGCCAAAATAAACGAAACTTGCGATGTAGTGCCGGCTTTCTTACCGTACCCAGTATACACTGTGATCTCGTAACGGTAGGCATCACTTGGTTCATTGTCTTCCAATGGAGTCACACCAGCCTGTGAAATAATTGATAAGAATTTTGATTTATTTTAATTGTGTTGAGTTACATGCATTTTCGGATTAAAGAATGATCCTGTACTGGGCACATTAAAATTCCCAATTTTGTTGAAGTGTATAACATACAGAACTAATATCTGTCATTTGTAAGGGTTTGGCTGTAACAATTCTGAATATCCTCTAGTTTAAGCGCCTTTACGGCCACACGCATAATACGATCACTTTGTTATAACGTCCAGATTTTTATGATCGAGCGAATTAAATCCTCACACTTTCTTACTAATTAAAACGGCCACCCCGTTAATGCGGGCACTTTTCGACGTCCCTTCGGTAACAGAAAACGACAATGTGATAATTATAATTACCCTTTCAACGTCTTTCTTGTCCTCTCGTCGTGCATAGATCGCAAGGACAACATACACAAGGAAAATGCTGAGGACTGCAGCAAGGGCAATGGGATTCTCAAGAATATTAACATTGAATACTTTGTTAAAGTCGATAGGATTGGGCGCTGGGAAGAAGCTACCTACAAAGAAAAAGTTGTTACAGATTAAGTGAAAGTTATTTGAACAAGTTTGGTTAGCATCAAGTTTTGGTCAACCGTTCATTTCATATCTGAATGAGGCACCATCAATTTTGGTATTGATTTTACTTCTCTTAAGTGGACAAAAAAAAACCAAAGGTTCCGTCAAAGTACTGACATTTACAGTGTGAAAACGTGAAACTAGGTTGTCCAACTAAACTAAAGGATCGCGGTCGGTATCAAGTAAAATTCCTTATATTACATGCTCGGTATCAACGGTCGCTCCCTGCCGATAGGACAACGCTATAATCACTATAAACCTAGATACATACTTGCAAGAGATAGCTTGGAAACCTTTTTGCGTACAAATCTTCTTTTTCTGACTGGAGTTCCAGACGATCCTTGGCTTGAMCCGGCAGGTGTTGGTGTTGGAAGTTCCGAAGGTGGAATGGCTGTAGGATCGATGTCCTCTCCTTCGTCATCCAACCCTGGCATACATACACAGTGGGTGATGTTGGCACGAGTCTTGTTGCCAACCTGTCCAGCATGAAATAGATCTACATTAATTCATACATGTGAAGAATACAGCAAAAATATGGAATGAAACGCAATAGGCAATGTACAGCGATGCATTATGTTTAACAAAGAATGTCCTCGCACTTATTGTAACCCCTAAGATAACTAATCTAGCCCTAGAAGCCATTTTCATGTTTTCTTTGTAGAAATAGTACAACTAATTCTATTTTTGCACAGAATGGCGTCGCTGCACATCGCCTTTTCATGATAAATGAGATCAATATTACTCACAACGCATCCATTGGTAACCCATTGGTTAGTATCTTCGTCGAATGACTTACAAGCAGGCAGATATATCCTCATGGAGTAGTCAGTATTGGGATTCGATAACTCATCTTTATTGATAGCCTTCATTCCCAAAAAGTACGATCCAGTTGTCCCATTTCCTACTTCAGTCCCATTGTCATCGTACATTAATTTATCTCTCAAGCGCACGTGATTTATAACATAAGTGAAGGGGTGAGGTCGCTTTCTCATTTTCTTTGCTTCTTCAAGGCTTGGAAATGTATAGTTAAAGTCGAAATGCTGAGCCGTCGGCCGCTTCGCAAATCGAAGCACAAAACGAAACTTGATTTTGGGGTCAAATGGTTGGATTTCGATAGCAATAGCAGTTGTGTTATCTGTGCGGTTGAATTTGTGAACTCGCATCGGTGGATCATCGGCTGCGTACTGATTCAGTTCCATAGGCTTGAGTGGGTTCTTTTTGAGATCCCGAGGGACAAACATCTCGAGGGTCTGTCCCGCGAGGTCTAGAGGCTTGCCATTCCCGTCGGTCAGTGCGAGTCCTACTGTTTTAGAATTGAGATCTTTTGCTTTTTCGTCTGCGGGGAAAGGRTTTTCACCCATGGCCGTCATCTGGAAACAGCAAAACGAAATTCATTTTAAGAGATTGAACTAGAAATATGAAAATGAGACTTGCCACCTTCTATGGATCGTTTGGCCAGTACATTTTACTTGATCGACAATAGATCCGTCTTCTTAAATTCTATGATCTATGCTTTTTAGTTTTTTTTTTTTTTGTTTTTGTTTTTTTTTCAAGATGGGTATTTTGTTAAGAGGAGTGTGCCAGGGGACACTTGATAGAGTGAACAATGGAATGGCCGATCACTCGATATCGAGTGAATTACAGAAACATTTGGATGTTTATTTCAATAAATAATCCAAACTTCGATTGACAATTCACGATTTCAACCGTCTTAGTAATAAGGTTAATCAGTTTCTGTCATTAGAATAATTTGTCAACCTACCGTTGTACCAATACCACTAGTGGCACCTTCTTCAGTGGAAGCATTGGCACCGCCAAACAGTGCAGCTGGGTTTGGCAGCCGAAAACCACCAGTATCTCCTTCTTCTTCGCTCTCTTCATCATCATCTTTTCCAAGATCGTCCAGATTCTTGCGTCCGATGGCCAGGTCCATGTTTCCAGTTTTGATGGCCTTTGGCTTGTCACCAGCAACTAACTGCTTCATAAGTGCACCGCTGACTTTGTCTACAACACCGAGGGCTTTCTTAGTGTTGTTGGTATTTGCACTCTGAAGATAAAGAATGAATAATAATTCAAAACACAAGAATAGAATATCCTCAGAGAGGATTTATAGGAAAGTCTAGTTTTTGAAAACATGCAGCCAAACAACTCAAATTGATGTTCTGGGGTGAAAATCCAAAACATTGCTGTGTTTAAAACTTTCTCGCGCATCCAGAAGAAGAGGGACCTGTGGAAATTTCCCGGGGTGAAATTGCTAATCTTTTACCACTCACCGCATCTGCTCCAGTAGTGTTGGCAGCCTTTTTTGCTGATTGACTAGAAGCACCAACAAGATTCCCGATGCCTGAAAACAGACTCTTTGCCGTTGTATCAAGGTTTCTAGAAGTGTCCGCACCAGAAAGGTAGCCCCCCATATCATCCATAGCCTTGATAGATGCTTCCTAGGGAGATGTTATATTACATTAGATCAGCTGATATATCGTAAATAAGACTATTGGAGTGAAACACTATGGGAAAGACGAGATAGACCATGGTCGCCTCGAACGAAGCGAAAATGGTCGAGAGAATTTGTTGTTTTAATGGTCTTTTGTCAAGTACGGTCTTATGAACAATAAACTCACTGCCCACTCAACCTCGTGTTCTAAATGTTAAATACAGTCGAACCCCTATTAAGCGGTCACCTTGGGGAAAGAGAGGTTGACCGTTTACTAAAAGAGGTCATGTTTTACAGTAAATATATGTGAGAATCGACTCATAATGAATCCATGAGTGACCGCTATATGCCGGGGAGGGTGACGCTTAATAGAGGGTAGTTTAATAGCATCTGGGAATCAAAACAAAAATTTGTGCTCTCTTCGGAGCTAGAATCCACTTGTTTGTCTCCGAGGTGGAGCTGTTTCGAGTTGGTGTTCAAGATGACAACATACCTGTGCATCGTCTTCTACTTCATCTGTTGCCTGAGTTAATGCATTTAACGCTTCTCCTTTTTGAGCAACGCTATCAAAAGAGTCTGCAGGAAGACCGGTCATTGACTTGGCTACATTTCCACGGAACTACGATAATGAAAGGCATGTCAATGTAAGAAATATTTGGATTTAACAAATTCTACAGATCAGCATATTAAGTCTTATCGAAGAAAGTGTATCTTTATTGACAGATATTTATTGAAATTTGAATTACATATGAGACATTTATATTTATCTTATCATTAGTTATTGAGATAAAAGGTTGGATTTAGTTGAATTCAAAAAGGATTTTCAAGTGTTATTGAGTCATCTACTGAGTCACATATATTTTGCAGGCATGCAGCACACCTCGAAACCTGTTAGTTTGATTGCTCCCTTCGTACTGCAATTCTGTTGTTGGGTTAAGTTTTGTTTTATCGTTTGGAAGACCATCTACTGTTTACATATTGTTTCCCAACAAATCATGAGATTCGTTCCGAGAACTGCTACAAGACACATATTTTGTATTATAAATCGTCTCGAAATATAATCTAGGGCATCATGTGGTCCAGACAACCGCCCGCGTTCTTTATAAAACTGTCACGCATTCGTTTGATGAAAAAGGACTGAATACCGAGTGTAATATAGACTAGCCTGGGTTGGAACTTACCTTGGCTCTCTTCTCTTTAGCGTTGACATCGTTTGGATCTGCTTTATCCGCCTGTGAGTTCAACACAGAACTAACAGCATTAGTTTTTTGTGTTGCTTCTTGTGGATTCCCACCGCTGACCGCATCTGATACGCTGCTTCCAACCTTGTCGTAATCAACCTTATCTGGCTCGGTAACCTAGAAAACAGAAAGACAGGTGTCACGTGTGTTTGATTATTGTAGCTCTTAATACACTGATGATGGAGGATGGGCCGAAAGTATATCTCGAGTACTTCCGATTCAACGTAGACTGGACGGAAAGTAACCGATAAACCAATCGCTAAACTACGCTCTTTGCTCGTGCGATCGATGTCATTTTCTGAACTTCGGGAAAGTGGTTTCCAATCGTAAGCTATTGTCTCTTGGCCCTACGCTCCCCAAGCAACGAAGTTGCATTTTAGTACATTATTATCAGAATTCGCCATGAAATCCGGGTATTTATCAGTAGACGAGGATTGAGGCCTAATTCACATCTGTAAATTAATTATGTGTGCCAGCAAAGCGGATAAGCACAATGCAAAATTTGTTATTGTAACTTGACAGGTTTATTCTCACCCTAATAGTGTACTTCTTAGAGGTTGCAAGGAAGTATTTGTCCATAACTTTGATTCGAAGCTCCATAGTGAAATTGTTCTCTTCTTTACCGAGTGGGAAGACTACCCCAGCACCTGGTTCGTACCCCGTATATACATTGATAATCTCGTCACCATTAACCAGTTCTGAAAAATCACATAAATATGAATTCAGTTGAGTGAGGTTTAACTGTACGTCAAAGCTTGCTCGACAGCCTGCGTCACGTCTGGGTTTTGTTTTCTGAGAAAAACCGGATGTGACGAAGACCACTATTCATACTGCCCTAGCCTCGTTCCCAGGTAACTGCTAAATGGCTTATGCTTGTTCAAAATAACCGGGACGCTTCTTGAATCCGATCCGGAAAATATATAGCCGAGGTGCGAGGCTAGTACTGACACCTAAATGACATGTTCATGGGACATGACCAGAGATATTATAGCAAGCTTACCTATCGTATATAGCAAAGGAGTATCTGGGTCCTTCCATTTATTGCATTTGAAATTGAACTCTGTATTTAAAGCGTAGCCATCCAGAGGATCAAAATCACACGTTCCTCCTGTAGGTCCAACATTAACTATGAATTGATACTCAACAAACCCGCCTGGGTACCCACCAGGCTTCCAAGCATTGAGCTTTAGGAAGTATTCTCTCCCTGGAATAAAATAATTCGGATTTATGACTATATTTCCTTTGTCTATTCCTGTAGTGGTGTTCTTTGCAAATTCTGGCAGTTTCAACCAGGACGCCATATCGTTCTTGTCTTTGCCAAGCTCGAGACGGAAGACTGACCATTCGTAGCCCAATTGATCAGTTGGTTTACAGTCAACGCAGATCGTCGCCACCACTAAGCGTTCCGAGGGATTCATCTTTTTGAGACAATTGAAGCTACAACTAAAAACAGAACATGAAGGTGAATGTTTGCGGTTTTTAATTTCCTTGTTGTTTATGAAAATGCAGTTTCATCTGGGGGTCAAAACAAAGAAATAATTTGACTTGATACTCTCATAAGCAAGACAATACCAAATAAATCAAGCAACTCGCGTTTGCTTTAGCTCAATAATGGAAAATTGAATAAGATCAAAATAAACGTTATTTCTTGATCAATGTACCGAGCATCATTATCATTGCAGCGATATTTCTGATGTTTGCTCGATTCAGGAATGCAAGCAGGTATAGGCTTTTTGCTTGAAATGGTCACATGGTACTAGATCCGGCATAGTGGATGGCAAAATAGTGTAAACAACATCAAAAGGAACGCAGCCCGTGAAATTCGACTTTTCTTTGTTTTGAGCATCCCAGTGTGTATTCTGCCGTCCAGTATGGTGGATTTAGTACCATGTGAAGGTTCCATCCAAAAGGTTTCTTTTCAAATGAAAAGCCGCAGACAAACAGACTGATAACTAAATTACCTCAAGCTCATAGTTGGAGGCTGTCCTGGAAGAATTGTGACTTTCTGCTCAAATGACGACTCTCTGGTGTCTCTTCTAATAGTCAATTGAAAGACATAGACCTCATTTTGGTAAAAATCCCCAGTGTAGAGAGACAATTTCGATTCAGTACTGTTTATTAAGAATATGCCATTTCTCCAGCATCCCCCCTTCGGGTTTGGTGGATCGAATTCACTTGGAAAGGTCTCATCATTCCTGCGACATTTCCATTCATACGTTATACCAGTTTTATTATTAGGGTCATCTGGATCTTTAGATTCACGACCGTCAAGATTCATTTGAAGCTCGTATCCAACGGATCTACGCTGTCCACCTAATTTAAAAACAAAGAAAGACGTCTAATCAGTATTTAGATGATTAATATCAAAATGATCATAAGTTTAATACCATTCGCTTAAAGCTCCATGATCCACTATCATTCAATGCGGTCGTATTTTAGATTTTTCAAATATGTTAAATATGGTAACTTCAAATATCCATCCGCAACACTGGAAAAAAATCGCGCGCTTTAAAGGTTGTAAAGTTGATGTAAGTGTCCAAAATTCTGTAAATTTAATGGAAATCATTTACATCAAATTTACAGAATTTTGGACACTTACATCATATTTACATCAAATTTACAACCTTTAAAGCGCGCGATTTTTTCCATTTCAATCCGTAGTTTTCAAGGTCAAATCTTTCAATATCTTCATTCATAGGACATAAAGGGACAGTAAAGAGCAAGTATTTGCTTATATGCGATGTGTTTTTGTTTTCAGATGTAACTGGCAAACGCTCAAAAGGGACGCAAGTGAACAATGGCTCTTTAAGAGGTACATCTGTACACTCTACACTCATTCACTCACCCTTGATTAACACAATCAATTCAGAACGCTCGACTTCAAGCCATACGCTATGAGAAGCGGAAAAGTGTGTCAAATCGCGATCCCTTCCAACGAAGGAAACCGTAAGTGAGAACTTGAGAGTCATAAATGGAAAGTATCGCTCTTGCACTGTCATTGCACCAGCTTCCAAAAGGTCTACGTTTGCCGGAAGTGGAAGTGGAAATGTCCGCACTTCTTCTGATGGAAGTTTAACTGGTCTACTGGTGTCATCAGGATTTGCCAAGGTCACCTATTTTTCATATTCCAGTTAGCAATTATTCATTGTGATCGTAAAAAAATACAATTCTAAATGTTATATTTTCTCAAGGCATATTAAACGCAAAAAAGACAATTTCCTGGAATTATTGTAAAAACAATTGGTCCTCTGATTTTCAGTGAGACCTTAGTTCATATCATTGCAATGTAAACATTTTTGATTTTTTGAAAAGGATTCCATGTAATACTAGAACAACGTTCATTCGCTTTGAAATTCGTCCTTACCTCATAAGCTTTCCAAGTGAAGATGATGCTACGAGCTACAGGGCAATTATAGTCGAGCTTTATGTTCAGCACCAACGCATCTGATTTCTGGATCTTTTTTGGCATGGTTTTGGTTCCATCATTGTCGATTCTAGCGTTAGGTCGTAAGCAAGGATAGCTATTAATCGCAACAATGGTAGAATCCTTGGTCATGGAAACATAATTCCAGGCAGTTGCTACCACGGTATAGTTGCCCATGTTCGCGTATGTGTGAGTGTAGTTAATGCCCAACATATCAGGAGATATTCTAATGAATGTCTCGTTAGAGCGAAACACTTTTGGCCTACATGTTTCCGACCCAAAGTACACGCCTCTATTATCACCTAAAGCCAACAGCAAACAGGAATCCGAGCCGCGTGAGGGAATAGAGACGTAGAACTTGGTTGGGTCGGTGAAGTAGGACGGATTGCTAGCTATGACACTGACTTTCCCAACGGCTTTCTGAATAGCGATAACTTTAGTTGACTTCAGCTCGCCAAGTACATTTGTTACGAAGGCACTGACGGTGTATTCACCTTCCTTCTTGTACACATGACTAGTCCATGGAACCACTGACTTGTTGCTTTGAGTCTGGTCACCAAATTTAAAACGGTAGTCGATATCATTATCCTGTGACGTTGCGTTGAAGATGATACGCTGGTCAACGCCAAAGAAGTTTTCTTCTGGTCCGAAGCCTGGGGCAGTCTTCTCGTTGATCATGCGCAAGGGAAGTATTATCACATCCTTAATTTTCTGGACGCGAACACTTATCTGCAGCACTTTAAAACTCACGTGATTACTTACGTTAACGCTAACAACAAACGTTTCCGCTCTGGTATACTTATGTGTTCGGCGCTCCGGTTTCAGTTTCATTGGCTCAGGGGAGGAGACTGCAGTACCATCATTGAAATTCCAAACACAAAGAGCGTCTGTTGGTGGAGTGACACTTGGCGGGAATGATATGTATAAAGAAATAACTCCTTTTGAAAGGCTAATAGGACTGTCACTTTCAAAAATAGCATTCTCAACTGGATACTGCACAWYGATTGTTCCCGCAAGAGTTTCTACGACTTTACCGAGTGAGTTTGATACGGTGGCAACTACAGTAAAGCTACCATCATCGTCGTATTCATGACTGAACCTTTCCTTACCAGCAACAGCTAAGCCAGAAGCGTTACGCTGAACTGCGAATACTTTACCGTCACCGAAACTTATTTCATATAGCAAACGTGAACCCTCTTTCACTGTCACGTCAAAATATACTTTTTCTTTAACACGCACATAACGCTTACTACTTGAGATTGTTACTGTTTTTACAGACGTGTCCACAGGAATCTTGGTCTTTACAGTCATGGGACCGAGACGATTAGTACACGTGACAACAACATCGAACGTATCTATCGCACTGTATGTATGGATCATTGCTTTGCCAGTATGTGACGCATCTGTCTTTAAAGATGTACCGTCTCCAAATTCCCACTCACAAAAATATGTTGTGCCTTGCTGAATTTGTAGTGTGATAGAAGATGMTGTAGTGATTCTTGTCGGTGGACCAGTTAGAGATAATCCACTTAAAGCAGTTAATTGTTCAACAATCACCGTTGCGTTTAGAGTCGCAGTTATTGAGCTGATGTCGTTATAACACATGACATCAACTTTAYATTGACCMGGGGAGGTGTACTTATGCGAGGCAGTTACTTCATGTGTGATCAACCTTGATGTTCCGTCTTTGAAGTCGTACGAACACCTGATATTGGTTCCTTCCTTGAAATGTCGATCAACTCTCATATAGTCACCCACCGCCAGGTAAATATTAGAAGTTACGTGAGCTACAGGGACTGAAAACACAAGTCCGACCAGAGGTGTCTCCACTATAGCATGGCATTCTATGGATATGTTAGGTCCCACCAGGTTATAGCCATATATGGTAACGGTATAGTTACCTAATGCACTGTACTGATGTGTGGTTTGCCCTTTACGGCTATCTGCGCCTGTTGTTACGACTGTATACCTCTCGCTTGCGTCACCGAAGTCCACTAYGTACGTCATATTGGTTCCTCTTTCGCTCTCCCATTTAATGGTGGTCGCTTCTCCGAGTGCTTTGGCTTTCACTGGACACTCACTGAACTTGAAATTCAAGATGGGATCATAAATATAAATCACACTTGTGACAGTAGCGCTGTTCACGGAGTTTTCAGCAGTTAGTTTGACAGCAAATCCACCCGCAGCAGGATACGCGTACGTAATCTGAAGTAGCTGCGTACGTAACGTATCTCCGTTACCGAAATTCCAAAAATACGTTGTATTGGAGCCTGGATGTTGTTGTACTGTAAACACAATCGAGTCGTTTGTGTTTGCAATTTTGCGGTAAACAAACGTTACGTTTGTAATCGGGTAATCGATCGTAACAGACCGTGTCTCCGTGATGTTTGACGTAACGTATTTGATTCCGGTCGACGCAAACSTATCGCGGATAACAAACTTTGCCTCATGTGCGAAATGAGCTGCAAAGATAAATTGTTTTTGGAGTTTTGAGGGACTGGAAGTACGTAAGAGTTTATCTCCAACATTAGATACTGATGAAGAATAATGAAAAGTGACGCCTTGATCGACTGGAACTTGCTTATACCCCAATTCGCCGCTTTCAAGGCCTATTCCAAGCACGTCTCCTTTCTTTACGTACGGTTCTTGCGCAGCAGGAACGTCTTCGATATGATGACCAAGCGTTTTGATCTCTACTCGAAATTTGTACACCAGTTCGTAATCTGCGGGAGGTTCAGTGAATTTATATGGAGAATAAGGGGTACATGTTTTCATGCTTTCCTGCGTGTTGGGTAAACACTGCTTGCGGAAGATACAGAAGATCTCATCTGCAGCGCACTGTCGCTGTTGAAGTGGTATGCATGCTGCGGAGGTAGCAACGCACGACTTGCTTGAGGCACAGTATTTTTGGTTAGCGTTACAGATAGGGCGAAAAATCTGAAACAAAGGAAAATGTTTTTTTGAAATAGGCACTCCCTGTACAGTTAAATCTCGTTATATTGAACACCTCTGGGACCGTAATTTAGTGTTCGGTATATGAAGTGTCAGCTACAATAAGGGAGTTTCAATAATCTATAAAGAAAGGAATTTTATCAGAAAGTCGAAGCTGTAATAAATAAAATTTCTTTCATCTCTTTCATGTTATTTTATTCTGTTGATATCAACATACAATGAATTTATCTTACCATGAGCGTAAGAAAGCCAGTTTTCACGGCTTCAAAATCCCAATGTGTTACTTTCCCACTCTGTTGGAATTCAAAAGCTGGTATAATGACGGTTCCTACCAACTTGAGCGGAACGCTGATAACTGTATCGTTCGTTCGAGGCACGATGGCTCCTGTGCTGTAATACTGCGCACCTGATTTATTTACAAGAAAAAAAAAACATTACCAATTATTTGACATCGATGCAAACACAAAGGGGCCGAGGAAATGGTTTGTCGACCGCTGCACCCGAGACCTACACAAAATCTATCATTACAATGAAGAATAGAATGGAAACTAGCATAAAAATGGGTGGAAAGTTCTAAAAGGAAATTTCCTTGAGCTATCGAAGCCGATAGATTACGCATGATAGCTCAAAAGATTTGGAAATAATTCAAAGTTCCATTTTACAATTTCCATCGCCATCTGAAAGGTTATCATGTTTATAAATCGAGGCGAGAGCTCGACTACTCTTGCAATGAAAGATATAAACCTGCCTTAGTTAGGCATGAAAATCACTACAACAACGCGTTGTAAAACTTGCAAAATAATATGACGTGGTTTGTACTCACTGATGCTCAGTCGCTCGGAATGTCCAGAAGTAAATCCAAATGTAGTGTTTACACGAGATCCACGGGCTAAACTTCCCAAGCATTCGACAACCTGACCAACTTTAGCTGACCGAGGGCAGTCAAGCTCCATTCCAGAAATCGGATCGTCAACTTTATAGACTTCCGAAGTCGACACAGATCCAGACATGGTATTTGACGCAATAAACGTCACAACATATGATCCGGGCTGATCGAAAATGTGTCTGGCAGTTGGCTGGTTTGATGGCTTGGTTACCTGTGTCCCGTCGCCCAGGTTGAATGTGTAATACACGTTTATTCCGTTCGAGAGATTTCCGTAAATGTATACTGGCTTCAGAATTCCTAAGCTCTCCACTGGTTGCAGAGTCAACCCGAGAATACGAGCAGCAGCCGAGTATATACTGTTTTTGTTCTTTCCACCACATCGGAGAGACTTCGCCGAGTCGGGCCAACTGCTAGATCCGGGACATGGAGTGTTACAATCAGCGTCATTTAGTTTCCCGGATGTTGGTATTGAGTTTGCGCAAAGGCAAATGTTCCCATCTTGCAATGCGGCGTATTTATATCTAGCACCACAAAGTTGGACGCAGCGGATTGGACTGACGTCATTTGTGTCATAGTCTCCAGCACTCGAATGGAATCTGCGAATCTCGTCAGATACCGGGTAGCAACCGATGATTTCTGTTCAGAAAAAAAAAACACTTAAATTATTAAAAGCAGAAAATCACTCTTAAAGATAATGTAACGCGTTTTAAAATGATAAAACATAAAAGCTAGCTCATAATTTTGATAGCACGAATATCTGCGGAAATTCCGGTTTCAAAATATTTAAAAAACGAATATCTGGTTATTTTTTTTTCTTTTCCTTTTTTGTTTTCTTAGTTTCAATAATAAAATACCACAATCGATGAAAATAAAAAAAAAATCATAAAAACGAAGTACATCTATTTTACTGTCTGAATAATTACTTTTCATGTCTCTCAGCGGATACGGTACAAAGACCTTCTACTATCGGAAAACAAATCATAAATTCGCTGACGAAATGTTTTTTTATTTCATTGCGCCAATGAAGAATTATAAAAACAGATGAAAAGATTAAATGAGAAACTAAACAATGGTGTTAGGACATACTTTGAGAAATATTGCGAATGCTATTGAATTATTAATAAGGTTACATTCTTAATAATTAAAAAAGACTTGGAAAATATTGTTCGGAAACTTTTTTGGGAAGATTTTCGCTAAAACTAAATATAAGTAGAAATAAACTGGAATATTTCACGCAGAAACGAAATTGAATAAAAAAAACTATGATTTTAAGTTTTTACTGAGCAGTTGTATTTTTGTAAATTATCCATTTTCAATTTCATGCGAAAACGTTTTATGTCCCAATTTTATGTTGATGTTAAAAGAATTTTGATAAATTTAAACATTCTGATACGAAGCAAAAGATAAAACGTCAAACGAACTATCATTATTGCGTAACTATGCAACAGAAAAGAACAGGAAAGTTGGAAAACAAATTGGATTTTTCTTTTATTTGCGGGGATTTTTAAGTATTTCTTACCHGACTGCTGAATCTGTGTCTGCAGACCAACAACTGGGGTCTAAAAGAGAAGGCAAAAAAGTTTTGAAATGCTCCTTGTCAAAAAACTGATCCACAAACATAAATTCGCTTACCAAAAAGTTGACCAAAAATAGAAGAGTCTGCAAAATACTTAGGTTATCCATGTTTCAAGTTTGATAGATATGTGGTCGCGGCAGAGTTAAAAATGCCTTGTCTTGTTTTGAAGAAATGATTTTTTCCGCCTTACTCGGCTCGTCGTTTTGAGTTTATCAGAGAATACTCTTGAACAGTTTGAAAGATTGCATGGGACTGCGATGTGGTGCAACTCATTAATAATTTATTTTAAACGACAACAACACTCCAGAAACAATAGAAACTGATTCAGTAAGAAATATTTTTAATTACTCCTAAAACGATTATAAACTGTTGCTTAATAAAATACAGTTTTCTAAATTCGATTTTAAACGCAATAAATCCAAAAGTTAGCTCAAGTAAAACTTTCCATATATTTTTGCCAAAATCTCAATATTCCTTTAGAACTTACAAAAAATCGATAAGCTCAATTGAAAGACCGCAAACAGTACCTCATTTGATTGGATGATAGATCAATGATTACATAATAGCACGCTCCCCTCGCGTGCCTATAGAAAATGCTTGAAAATTTGGTGTCCTGCCTGTTTTAAAAACGTCACCATTCTAAGAACTCAGTTAAAAAAAATTATTGACTACTTTAAAAATAAAAGTGCTTTATTTTTTTGTGTGTATATATTTATTTGCCATCTTTAGTCCGTACGCTTATTTGGGTTATGTAATGAGCTCAGAGCTCTCGAAAATTCTATAATGTCGCTTTATTTGGAAAACATGACCAACAGCCCAACAAGATAAAGTAATTTTCAACATGGCGACTCTCTTCGAGATCAGGTTGAATAATGTAATAATCACAATAGTGATTTCAAATCAGAGCTCACATCGCTTTGGCATCGAGAGTTGCACGTGATAATCTAACTCTTTTTATTTGATACAAATGCAATGCACCGGGGAACTGACCAGTCTTTCAACTCCCCGGACGCCCTTGCACCACGAGGTATAAAATTGACCTTTGAATAACCTGAAAACAACCCTGATATATATCCGTATCTACTTTGAAAGTATAACTCTACAATAAGTGGACGATTTGTATAATTTGAAAACAATATTCACCCTTCATATACTGTAGAAGGAACCAGAACACAGCTATTGTTATTTTTGGACCATTTGCAAAACTAAATAAAACCCTTGCGACCATATATGAGCAAAGTCCTAAAATGATGACGTCATATTAATAAAATATTCAAGATTATTTAGCCGAAAAACAAGGCGCTATTTCTAAAGATCTTAATAAAGAACGTCAGTGAGGTTAGCATTAGTATTTTATATCTACAATATTAGAAAATGTACAAACATTGTACATTTTTCTCACTGGACTTTGCCCAAACTTGCGAAAATATTTTTTCTATTTCTTATTAAATTACTAAGAGTTATGGAAGATTATATTGTAAAAGTACTATTTTCCTTATTGAAATTAAAGTTTATAAACACGGAAACAATCTTACTGGCTTTTTAAGCAACAAATTAAAATAACGCTCTATTACTAGTTGTCAGTGCGGCATAAAAAAATATACCTGAAAAACATTAGTAACCCTTCTAGACGTTTGATTTGTGGTACTATGGTAAATAAGATAATATCATTGAACTCATTGCTACTTTAATGAGTACTTTGTGGTATCCAACAAGCGTTGTTTCTTGATACAATCTTCTAGCCATCTTGTGGTGACAATTATTGCATCTTTATCGAGTCCTTTCAATTGAGGATCCTGAAATAGATGTGGACCTATTCAGATAGCAAATCAGGGTCGCCTGAAGGGTACCCAAATAAGGACCCCCACAATGATCCAGAAATCTTGGGGTGTGGGTGGTCCACGAGTAGACATAACCGATACTTTCTAATTAGCAATTACACCACGTGGTTGAGTGGAGACAAAACTATAGGACAAAATTGAAATAAGAAAATAGAAAATCGAACCTTTTCTCAATTTGATTTTTACGTTCATTAGTATTACCATACTAGTGTTATTGCAAATCCTTCGTTACGCTACTCGGGGTCTATTTTCAATAGTCGACTAGCGAAAAGTGACAACTTTTTAAGTATCTTAAGCAACAAAACCATTACGATATTTTGATATTTCATTCATTTTTTGTCCAACTAGTATGGTAATACTAAAACGCCTCACGGGGCTATCAACTTGTAGTCCACTCGCCCTCGAGACCTAAGTGTTCAATAGCCAATTAGAATGTGGCATTTGTGATAATCAATAGTATGATTAATAATGTACTCTTTCCAACACCACTTAGGACATGTCGACTACATCTACGATCGGAGTTACTTCGACTATTTAAATAGAATAGTTGAATCGAGGGCATTTTGGTGTGATTGTTGCCCGCGTAAACTGGATTTTCCAAAAACATAACCGTCCATTTACATGCACATTATAGTCAAGGTAGCTCAAGGTAAAAAAACAAACAAACAAAAAAGCCAGCAACGTACTAGACAGATCTCAAGTTAGAACATCAACCGACTCCACAGCGTCCAATCAAGTCAAAATCAATACAAATGCTTCTACTAGCAACAAAAATATAACTCATTTTTACAGGAATTTAATGACGCACTTACCTTGACATCACAAACTATATGTGTTACGTCATCACACAGTAAGCTCTCTACATCTCCATTATAATTAATAACAATTAAGGAAAACATCAGTTAAACCGACTGGGGCAGTGCAATATAGAACCTTTCACAGGCTATATCAATGCTGATTACATCAATCAGAAAAAGAAATTATTATTGAAAACACAGAATAGCTTTTAAGGATATGCAATCACGTAACGACCAAATGTCTTCATATTTTCTTCAGGAACGTCTTTAAAGTAAATTCGTACTCCAGAGAAGAAGTCGGGTAGTGACGACGAGCTTGATTCGGAAAATAATCGGTGCTGTTTCGATAGTTTACGAGAAGCCGAGGATCGCTCGTTTTCGTCGGACGAGTTATCACTGAGTTCGGACATAGCTCGAGGCTGTTTCCCATAGCGACGAGATCCTTTTGGAAATCCTTCGCTTTCATCGGACGAGTTATCACTTAGGTCGGACGCAACTCTAGGTTTTTTCGGCTTCCGTCGAGGCATTGCCGAAGTTCCTTCGTTATCATCGGACGCGTCACTACCGCTAGACGAGAGATCTGGTCTCTTTTTCACGGTTTCTTGTTTACGTGGATAATAATATCTATAATAGAATGTTTGCACATCAAGGAAAATATCCAATCGGTGGGACTTCATAATACTTTTTGCTCTGTTTTGATTTTGCAGATAAAAAACATTCCAATATGGCGGCTGTGTTTCTAGTCTTCTCTATTTTGGGAGAGACAGGAAGATGCGAAAGAGACTACAGTCTCTATATAGAGCTCTATATACTACTGCCTGTAAAGGCTATAGTAAAATTTTAAGTGAGTAAGACATTTTTAGCTCGCCGTGCTTGGAAACCCGTTTTCCATTCATACAAAAGCTGCCGAATAAATCTAACAAACAGCGATCGCCATTGATGGTGCAGCAACTCCATATTAAGGATACATGCTAGTAGGAATTCCTCTCGATGCAAGGTGTTTTCTTATAAGGCGTTCAGTGCCGTACCAGTTGAAACCAGGCGTTGTGTGACCAATACGTGGAAGGTGAACGGTGGCTATACATAAAAAATAAAAAGATAAGACATTTCTTCCAGTTGATTTTAAATAATGGCTACAGGATATGATATCATGCAGAAATATTTATTTATTTTGAACACGCGTAAAGACTTTCCAAACGCAACCAAACGAGACAAAGCGATACAAAAGTCGAACCTCTTTTACGCGGTCAGCTTGTGGAAACACCACAGGTTGATCGTCACGCTTACAATAAATATACATGGCAATCGACTTTGGGGGAATTTATGAGAGACCGCTTAATGAAGGGTGACCGCCAGATAGAGGGTCGTTCTAAGGAGGTTCTACGGTATTATATATAGAAGAAATTATGCAGTTAAAAATTACATAATCATTAAACTCATGAAAGCATCAAGATCTCACCGCTTAATTGCTTGGCAGCTTTGTGCACTCGTTCAAGGCCTTCGCTTAACGCGGATAAATTCATCGGTAAAAGACGATGGTGYTTGTCACGTGTTTGGGCCACAATCAACGAAAGCTGCAAAGTGCAAAATACCTTGTTATGGGTATCAAAATGACTGTGAAYGCGAGATTTATTGGAGAATACACTACTTCATCTCTCAAGTTTCTTCTCCGTTCTTATTGTTTAAACTACTAGCACAATCTGAACATCACAATAGAATCAGAATTACATAGYTTTGCTGTCTTTGTTGTTGGTCTTCGTCAAATGGTATAAGATGAGCATCTCCGGTATGAAGATCTAAGAAGCGGTTATAAATAAAAAATCTATTAGAATTACACTYTTTATTCGTTTGCGAAAAGAMAATGCTATATTATTGATTACAACCACTGACCAACCTTCCATGGCACCGGCCAATTCGTAACTTTGCACAGCTGAAGACGAGCGACGTGAAATAGCAGTAAAAAGTCCACCTTTTCCCCAGTGCCCTGAATCGTCTGAAAATAACAGAATCTARTAAGTTTACCAGTTAATTCGCCTACATAAATTGCTTTATCAATCAATTCTGCAATACAAAGAATTGTAATTGCGCGCAATAGACATCGTACGTCAATCTTTKATTTTGAACCAATCAGAAAGTAAGGTTCTAGGGTATTTACCAACACAGTGCACTATGATGGCTGGGTTTCCTGTGTTATTTATMGGTTGAGTAACGTCTCCTTTGACGTACTGAATGCCATGTCGTTCCTCTTCTTCGTCAGTTAATTCTTCTTCTGAACCTTCCTCGTCGTCCTCGCTCAGGGTGATGTTAAGAGAATTGTAATTGTTCTCTTTCCGCAAAAGTTCCCTTGAGAAAGAAAAGATGCGATAATCTACGATCGAGTGGATCAGTTTCTTGTTTGTTTATTCGACTGATCGTCCTTTGTCAGTGATTAATTAATCAGTCGTTTTCCTCAACAAGAATTCGAATTTTTTAGTCATAAACCATGGTTTCCTTAAAGTTAAACTACGCTTCGTTATGAAGTACTGCATACGGTAAAAACAAAAGCAAAAGGACTTCTTTACTTCAATTTTGAAATCACTTCTACTCGTAATATATCACTTACAATCGCTTTCTTTTTGCTTCTTCTCTTTTTGCAGCATTTTCCTCTCTCTAAAATGAAAAATATAACGTAATATTTAAAAAACAAACATATCAGGAAAGAATATAAATGAGTGTCCTGACCTTCTTTCTTCGTTCTTCTAACTCTTCTGCAGTTAACACTTTTCTTTTCCGTGTAGGTAAATTTAAAATACTTGGCTGCAAAATCTTAGAAAAACAACGAATTATAGTTTTGTCTTAAGAGAAGAATATCGATAATGCTGCATGAATTTTGAAAATATCATTATATAGAAATAACTAAAAACTCAGTTAACGATAGGCGTTACGATAGCCACGCCATTTTTCATATKGTCTATTGCGCGCACAAGTTGAGGGGTTTTTATGCAGCATTTTTCAGAAGCTACACAAATCCATGAGTTGCATGATGGGATACAAGTATCCCATGTATCACTTCGGTCACAGCACCTTGGGCTATTATTGTCAAAAAGAWTTTTGCATAAACCTCTTTGMAAGTCATAACATTAAGAGAGAAAGCCTCACCTTTGMAACGCTGCGTGTGGCTCTTTCTGAGGATGTTACTTCTTCGAGCATGTCTTAAGAKARTCAAWCAACAAGTCAAGTCGATCATGTGAATTATACAGCAATGAAGACATTGATGATGATGACAATGATTGTAATCATAACAATGATGTAAAAATTATGAATAATGATAAAAAGCACTTATCACTGTAATTGCGATCGTAGTACAGCACGGACATAGCACATGCTGATTTTTACTTTCAGACGGAGTTTGCTCTAATTGCTAGTTTCTACTCCTTTCTATTCATTCCTTCCTTCTTGATATTCAAAAGACAAAAAAAAACTACAGCTATGTTGGTGGTATGAACAATAGATACTGATGAAAAGTTATTTGTCGGCTACCAACATAGCCTCCGTGAATGATAATGATGATGATGATGATGATGATGATGATGATGATGATGATGATGATGATGACGATGATGATGATGATGATGATGATGATGATGATGATGATGATGATGATGATAATGAATTAAATGCAAGTCATAGCAAACATCATCCACTCCTCACCTTTTACCATTTTATCAAAAGCATCTTTATCGCGGTCACTTGTTTCCTTGGAATAGTCATGACCTTCGTAAACATACATGTTTGTACCTTAAAAACAAAAAAACAAGTAAAATATATACACTAGTTTTCCGTCGGCATCACAGCAACATGAATCACGATCATGATTTCCCACTTTAAAAAGATGCTTCTGATTTTGAGATATAAGATTGTTTGCCATTGGTCAATTGGTTCGCTCCAGTCATGAGCACTAAGATGGCGACACGTAATCAAAGACAAATTATTGCACGATCTGTCTTTGTCAAGTCCAAACTCAATTGGAAATTAAAGCTATATTTAATCAACAAGGAACGAAATAGCTTGTAAACGCTCCTTCAACAAATTTYGTTTGAACGCCGCCATCTTGGCAACAGCGACTTTTAAAACAGCGACTGTAAAGCAAACCAAATGACCAATGACAGCCAGCAACATTGATTTAATTAATCAGAAGTGTCTTTTYGACATCAGAGGTCAAAGAATCCATGATAACCTTCATATTTAGGTCGTGCGTAGAAATTACCGATTACTGACTCTGCATTCTCTCATTCTTGCACATACCTTCGGTTTCACTAGACTTTTCTTCTGCTATGTCTTTGGTCGCTGTCGWTTCCWCTACAACCCATTTCCCATTCGAGCTTTTACCAAGAATTCTAGAGACAAACACTTAAAATAATTTTTGGATACTGATACMCTGAAATACTTCAAATATCGTTCAGCAATCATATACTTTAAAGGCTTGCACTCTTATTTGACTGATTTTGTATTTTGCAGAATACATCCTGAAGTGAAATTCCTGAAAGAGCACATTACCTTTCAAAGTCTTTGTCTGTTATTACACTAAAACAAAAAGAATGCATTTATKCTTTGCTTTCTGAAAGTCTATGTAAACTTTTTATCGTACTTACTTTTCATCCGAGTCAAAAAGTTTATCCAAACCAAATTTCAATATATCGCCAAGCTAAAATAGTGTACGATTTGAAGTTAGACATCAACACTATGGAAGTTATAGAGTCTSATTATTTCCTTAACCTGTAGATTCGTTTCTGCAATTTGGTTTAAACYTTGAGCGATGCTTGAGAACTGAAAGAGTTTAAAACTTCTAAATTACTATTTGAGTGTATTTAAACTTAGCGTTTTTAAGAAAGAAAGCATTTTATTCCTACCTGACCTCCCTCTATGACATTATTAGTGAGCCTTAGCTTGTCATCAGCTCGCYTCAAAATAATTTCTTCCACGGTATTTCGCGCCACTAGACGAATGATCTTGACAGGCCTTGGGAAGATTTAAATATTTTATAACGAATCAATGGAATAAACTAAAAGGAAAAAAAATGTTGAATTGTTCTCTCATCTATTCATTCTTTTATTCCCTTATTTTATATACATGCCAATAGTCTCCTTCACGGTTATCTGCGCCATCTTGAAAGGTAGCCATGCCTTTACATCGAAGCGAGACGACCGTTGAGCGTGCAATGATAGATAACTGCGAATAATTGTCTGTATAGGTGTGAAAGAAGGTAAATTGAATAAATTAAAGAAAAAGACACACAACTTGCAACTAGTATTTCCACTCTTTATTAGAACGTTTCGGCACTTCGGCCTTCTTCAGAAAGAAGGTATCATTCCACGCTCAACGGTAGCCTCTTCAAGATGGCGCAGTAACCGTGAAGGAGACTATTCAACCGTTTATTTCTAGTGACTTTACCCATTCTTTTCAGTATGGTCATTCTTTTCCCATCCATTTATATTTTCGTTCATGAATGTTCATTACCTTGTCTGTCCAAGTCGATGTGCTCTTGCCGCTGCCTGTAAATCATTTTGTGGGTTGTAGTCACTATCAACAAAGATCACGGTATCTGCAGACGTCAGATTAAGTCCTTGTCCACCTAGTGAAGCAGTCAGGGCACATCGTTACTCGAAATCGTTAATAAAGTTTAATGTTCAATCTGAAACTCATACACCAACCGCTTTTTAGCCTTGAAAAACGTTTGAACTCAATTATTTGAAGTGGGACAGTAAATTGTATGTATATATACGTATATATTATGCAATACTATTCTGTAAATGTATGTGTTTTTTTTGTTCATGGAAATAAAAAGTATTAAAAAAAGTGTGCCACCCTAACACAGACCGAAACATAGTTTTGTTATCTACTTGTTTTTGCAACTGTAAGAAACTCCAAGCTTATGGCGCTTTTCATTAGTTGCCAATTTAGTGTGCCCGATTGTTAAAGAAAGTGTATTCGYTATTCCTTATTGTGCAGCAATTCAGCCCTCGAGATTTCCTCAAGTTAAGCCGWATAACAAATATCCAGACCTACAAAACCGTATTCATTATCACCACAATCATTTCTCATGAAATCTTTTGATGTCGTTTACTTGTGGGTTTTTCAGTATTGCTTTACATGTAATATGAGGGTGGTCCATGTTAAAAAAAGACGTTCTCATCAACTTACCAGCTCTAGTACTAAGCAAGAACGCAAACGTATCGTCCATCTCGTTAAAGKTACGTATCGCAAGATATCGTTCTTCTCCACGTACGGAACCGTCAAGTCGTTCGTACGTAAATCCTTGAAAATACACAAATCGATTTTATTAAACTGAAAACAAGGTGTATGAAACACTTTTACGTTTGTACCTCTGTATCCAAGATAATCTTGTAAGATGTCTAGCATTCTTGTCATTTGAGAGAACATTAACACTTTATGRTCCCTGGAAAAAATTTTATAGAAATGTCTATTCTGCATAGACTTTTTTTGAAATAGRTTTACGCATTGCATTGTGTTCTAGATTCGGTACAAACATCTGTCGTTCATGCTAACAAATATGACGTTGTTTGTACTKAAAWTAAACCACAATACACCATGATTYTAAATTTCAGAAAAGATCCATGGCTATAATGTCAAGAGCACATTATCTAATCACGATTTACTTTCTTATCCAATGAAAATCAAGTCGGTACTCACCTTTTGTGCAAAAACGACAAAAGTTTGTCCAGGACACAAAGTTTTCCTGGAAATGAAAAAATAATACATCAGYCAATTTAAAGTCAATCAATCGACTTGTTGGTCCGACATTGTCCGTTAACCAGATGTTAYTTCGAGTATCGATGTCGTACGTCACATGCATGAATTCGTGAATTGCATTCGACACAAGAGAAGTTCGGCGTGTAAGCTGGGTCTAAGGTACTTTACGATGCGTT